CATCATTGATGATTCATATGGTATTATATTAATGTGTGCTTAATTATAGATGGTGGAAAGAGCTAGGTCTGGCAAATGAGTTAACTTTCGCGAGAAACGAACCAATAAAATGGTACATGTGGTCCATGGCATGCCTCCCAGACCCACGACTCTCAGAAACAAGGATTGAGCTCACAAAAGCACTCTCCCTGGTTTACATCATTGATGATATATTTGATTTTTGTGCAAATATTGATGAACTCACTCTCTTTACAGAAGCTGTCAAGAGGTATTATACAAACTATTCTGTCGTTTTTTTTAAGTTTTTTTAACTACGTTATAGAGTTTTTTTTTTTTAAAAAAAAAGATGATTTTTAGTTACGCAGAAATTTATTTTATTTTATAATTTTTACAGAAAATTTTGTTCAAATAAAATCTCACTTTTCAATTTTTAGAATTTGCTGCGGACACCCTTTTCATGGTAAAATGAAAGGAGAATAAAAATAATGTCTGGTCATTGCTTTGAATTATATTCTCTGGCTAAGCCAATGACTATGTGAACATGTGCAGCTGGGACAGGGCAGCCATGGAGCAATTACCAGAATACATGAAAGGGTGTTTTAGGGCTCTTTATGGCATAACTAACGAATTTGCTTTGAAGGTCAACATCAAACACGGATGGAATCCCATAACAACCTTAGTAAAATCGGTAAAATGTCGTTAAAGTTCTATAAATGTTACCTACAAATATATTTGCTTTGTGAGAAAACGCACACAGCACACACGAGGTTACCCTCGTATAACATCCTTGAAGAATCAATGGTGATTGTTATTGTAATTTGGCTGTTACAGTGGGTAATGCTCATGAATGCTTTTCTGGAAGAAGCAAAATGGTTTAGATCAGGGTACGTGCCGAAGGCAGATGAGTACTTGAAGAACGGAATAGTGAGCACTGGGGTGCATATGATCCTTGTGCACTCTTTCTTTTTCATAGGTGAGGGTATAACGGCTGAAACAGCCGCTGCAATGGAGGGAATACCAACTCTGATATCTACAACAGCCACCATTCTAAGGTTGTGTGATGATCTGGAAGGGGACCAGGTAGGCAGAAAACCATCTTTTTCTTACGTCACCACTGATCTCATTTTAAATTATTTGTGTGTGGACCACAAATAATTGACATTTGAAATGTTTAACATGATAAGTTAACTTCACCATCTTTCCTTGAAACATACATATGCGAATGAATTATTTATTAATGTTTAAAATTGTTTACTTACAAAGAAAATAATTAATGCAGAGTGTTAAAGGTGATGCGAATGATGGGTCGTATATGAAGTGCTACATGATGGAGCACCCAGAAGTTTCCATTGAAGAGGCACGGGAGCATGCCACTGAATTAATTTCGAATGCATGGAAACGTCTGAATCAAGCATGTCTCACAGATGCAAATCAGTTGCCATCATCTTTCACCAAAGTTTGCCTCAATGCTGCTCGCATGGTTCCTCTCATGTACAGTTATGACATAAATACTCCATCCAAGCTAGAGGAGTATGTTAAATCGTTGCTTCAAGGTGGTGCCATGAAAAGTATTCCGCAAGATTAAACCACTGTTTCATCAAGTAATCTTACATCAACTGACATACTGTAGATCACAAACATTTCAAAATGTTGATGTTTAGAATCCTGTAAAAAAATAATTAATGTGTTGCTATATAAAATTGTATTCAATTTTAATTCTTGCATCAATCAAGCCAAAAGAACCTGTAACTTCTTTGGAAAAATTATAGAAGGCTTCTATAAATGTAAGAAATTTTCAATTTAGTGTATCTGTAATTTTAATTACTTTTAAGAAAACAATTAATGGGTTTCATATGCGTCTTTTATAAAATAAGAGTAATCCATGAGTCACTAGATAAAATTATCATGGGGGACACAAAGTGTAAAGTTTTAGTATTTAATAGTTATAAATGTAAGTGGTAAAAAATTTATTCTTAAAGTAAAATCTCAAAGTTTATCGAATTAAGTAAAATCATTTTAATGTTCGATTTATTCCATGTTAATATGTAAACTATTTTTATTTTTATTAAATTAAATGAGTTTAAGAACATTCCGTTGACTAACTATATACAACCAATAGTTTTAGAGTGGTCGATATCAACTACTTTTCCGAGGTTGAATGGTCAATGACCAATTACTTTCCCGGTCTTAAGATAACCCTTTTCATGTATATGCTTTGAATAAATTTTCTACGCAAACAGGTCAAAGAAGTTTTAACATTGCAACGTACAACGAAGCAATTAAGAATTATAATTCAACTTTCTTCTCATTATTTTGTCCATTTCACTTGTTAAACTGCTGAAATTAATTTGGCATCCTTTAGATTATGAATTGAACAATTGCAAATAGGAAAATCGTCTAGAGAATAATTTCACTCTAGAAAAAAAAATAACAAGATGAAAAACAAATAAAAAAAATCATCAACTTATTTAAATTTATTATTTAATACCCACTCTTCCATGCATAGTTTGAAGAGTTTTATTTTGAGTTACGTTATTGTCTTTGTAAATAACCTGTGATTTTTCTTATGGAGTTTAAAGTTGTGCTTTCATATGGCGGAACCAAATTTTGAGTCGGTAAATGTACTAGAAAATAGTTATATGACTTACTTTAAAAGCATGCTTAAGAAAATTGTGTCATCTTACAACAAAAGAGATTGATTTTCAGCTCCAAAGGTTAAGAAAAGGAATAGGAATATAGAGGAATAATAAAAGAAAATGAAGTGTTAATTATGAAGTGTGAGATGCAAGAAGGCACAAAGTCCACCATGGCAAAGTTTAAGATAGATATTTTGTAAATTTGTTGAAGTCATGTTAATTACACCCTAGCCCTATAATTTAAGTACAATTTATTTAATCTTGTGAGCTTTTCAATAAATTGTTTGCTCTACGCACAATTTCTAAAAGTGAGTTCTTCATAAAGGTAGAAGAAAATTGTCACATATTACCTCTCCCCTTACTATATAAGGGCAAGGAAAAGTCATAATGGAAGATGACTCCCTAATTTTCCATGTTTAAGCTTGCCCTTCAAACCTTTTAAAAGAGATAAATTAATTTATGACCACACTTTGAAATATTTAAAGTTCATTAAAAGGAAATAGTGACATGATGCTTTGAAATGGCTTCAAACCTAAATGTAAGTTTTGTAAGGACTCACTATGTGTATAAATGCTTATTGTTTTTTTTATATGGATTGTTGTTGAGAATTGAATGATTCCTGATGAACGAATTAAGGATATGTATATTAGTTTGTATTAATTGGTTTATGTGACCTATTTCAGAACTAAATTTTGTACGAATTTTTTTTTGTAAAAGAGATAAAAACACTAGTTGGAATAAGTCAACAAAATATGTCTACTAGAATTTTGAAATTATGCAGATTTGTTAGGCAAGTTAGTCTGTCGTTAAGTGAGACTGAAAAATTGAAATTCCATAAAGCTTAAAGTGTTTCATTCGAGCGAGCATAATGGAAATCACTCCTAGGTGTTTTCGTTGTTGGATGAATGATATTGTTGTTAAAGAGGTTGATTGATTAGAATTATACGTGATGATACTATAGTATTTATAAGGGTGAATTATTATATGGTGTGGTTGATGTATACTGAATATAGATTATTTGACGAAATTATTCAAACTCTACTAAATATTCAAACTTGCAAAAGAGGAAGAAAGATGGTGAGAGTTGATGGAGTTTTCAATAACCTAGATTTGTGTGAAAGGAAATTATTCCAAGCAAGTTGTATAAAATTAACCTGATATATGATGATGACTTAGATCTTAAGACATGCAACTCTGAGTGAGAAGTCATTTGAGAGGTGTAGAATTTTGATTCCAATTCAATACAAGAGTCTTCGAAAGTATAATATATTAATAATTGTTATATTATTGTATGACTGAATGTTACATGTAAAGATGTGAACTATTTAAAAGTAAAATATAATTTGTATAGTATAGGCCCAGGACCGAACGGTCAACATTGGGTACCGTTCGGTCCACCCGCTATATCAATCTTAGACTATAATTGGGTCAACGTTTAAGTTATTATTGTTTAAATCATTATTGAGCCAAAAGTCCAGTAGGCTGTTAAAATAACCAAAGATATCTGATTAGAGATATTGATAAAGCCGTTTATGAGTAACTAACCGAATCTTCAGGTAAGTTTGTTTTTATTTGGTCTAGAAACACTTATAAATACAATGACAGAGTCAAAAGTCAGGTACGTTCCACTCATACGTTCCACTCACATTCTACTTACGTTCAACTCACACTCTACAAGACTCAAATATTTAGCTGTGATAAATAGTTCATAAAATCGCTCCTAACTTGAGCATCTGAATGTAGAATAGTTCATAAAATCGCTCCTAACTTGAGCATTAGAATGTTTTTTGCATATATCTCCCCCTCTGGTTCAACGCGATAACAAGCAGTCAAGAGTACAACATATCAGCACTGGCGACAACCGAGCGGTCATATTGCGTTCGAGACAGAAGGCGAACGGTTCAGAAAGGTAACCTAAGCGTTCGAAAGCAAGGAGAACACGTCCGGAAGGTTAGTCTCTCGGTCCTACACAAATCTTTACCAAAACATAATTGATGATTTTATTTTATTTTTTTAATCATGTTAGCTTATGTAGGTGTGATTTTCATATCTCATGATTGCATGTTATGCAAAAACAAGTTAAAGTGTCAAACAGAAATAGTAAGAATTATTATATTTGTACATATCACTAGTACAAAATAGGGATAAGAACACGCGTAATACGCCTCGGTTTTTAGAAAACCGAAGCATATGTAGAAGCGGTGGTATTTTCGCAATTTCGACAAATTTATATGCCTCGGTTGTAGAACCGGTGCCTAAAAGCAAAAGTAACCGGTGCAGTATCCTCTTAGTGTACTAGTGTATATATGCATATGTGTGTTTAATTTTTTTCTTGATAATTGTAGTGATTATATTTTAAATATCTTTATTGGGAAGAAAATTATAAACATAATTATATTTATATGAATTATTTACCGTTTTGCGATGATTAGTTGTAATGATTAATAATAAGGTAACTTCGTGTTACATAATATAATAACAGGATCTTAAACCTATGGAAAATACCAAATATAACCAATATTAAAAGTTCTTTTTGTAAGTGTACGTAAGCTTCTATTTTAAAAATGTTATGGAGATTATAAATTAATTTAGTCTTAAAAAATAATTGGAAAAGTGGGTGGTTTTAACAAAACGAGTTTAAAAAGTACAAAGTAATGTTTCAATAAAGCACGTCTAAATATATTTCTAAAATATCTTGTCTTGAAAAGTCTGCTAAAATATGTATCGTGATAATCGTGTACATGGACGGTTGACAACATGTGAATGAACAATACTTAAAAAAAAAACACATGATTGATGAACAAAATAGTAGCGTTTGTTATAAAGGTACATACCAGTTATGACAACTTCTAGGGTAATTTAAGATGCTTAAAGAGATCTTTTTAACTACATAAGTAGATAATGCAGTATAGGTGTCAGAAACACGTGTTAAAAAAATATAAAAATAAAATAATCTTAAAAATGTAAATTTTTATATTTTTTAAAAAAGAAAAAAGTACAAAGAGATAATATTAACTGAATTAAAAAAGTTAGATGTGTGAAAAAGTATTTATCCTTAGAAAGAAAGAATGTAGTGAGAAATATCTGATTGACACAGTAAGATGGATGAAATTTTAACTTTCCAACTAAAGGGTTTTAATTTATATTATGAAGAAAAACACATAAAGAAATTAAAATAAACATTAAATCCTTATTTCTGTATTCTATTTATTTTCAAAAAGTCAACTTGTTTTAATTAAAATGGATTTGCCCTTTATGTTTAAAATTGATGCAACGTGGCCCTCTCTCGTTCCAGTTAAGTTGATGACGGAGGAATTTATAATTTCCAAAAAATTTAAATTGTCGGTGAGCTTTGATTGATATTTAATGATATTGTTAAATCTCACTATTTTGATTTTAGATAGTGAAGATATTGAATTTTTATTTAAAAAGCATGTTAAGAATTCCTATTTGTGTTTTTAATGTATAAATAATTAAAAATAAAATTGAAACGATTAAATGTCCATATTTATAGATGGATTTTAGGAATGCTTTTACTACTAATTAAAAACAATAACAATGTCGGTCCGTCTAATTTAGTAGAAAGGACAACATTGTATCACTCTCAAAAGTTGAAAACTAAATTGAATATTTCAAAAAAGAGAGAACAAATTGATTTTTTAATAAAAAGATGAAAAATAGTAATTTATCCTAAAATCAATTAATAGCAAAATGAACGTGATATTTTTCTAAACAATGGAGAGTTTAGCTTGAATAAACAATGTGAGATAATGAATTTTTATTGGTAGTTAAAGCATAAATATATTTGAATCAACTTAACCATAAATATTTTAAAAAATATATATAATCGAGTTTCTTTATATATATATATATATAAAGAGAGAACAAATTTAATTTTTAATAATCAGATGAAAAATAGTAATTCATCCTAACAAAAAAAAAATAATAACAAGAAGAACATAATATTTTTCTAAACATTGGCGAGTTTAGCTTGAATAAACAATGTGAGATGATGAATTTTTAGTGGTAGTGTGTGTTTCATGTTAAAGCATACGTATGTTTGAATCAACTTAATTTATATATTAACGAGTTTCTTTATGCCTATATATATATTAACAAAAGAAAAGCTTTA